TCCCAGAGATCTCAGGAGGCAAATATCGAGAACACAACACGACACCACACTTTGGAGACCGCACATTTCAGGCTTATTGATAGCGTAGAACGTGATGGCATTTGATGAACGTATCGAGGAAAATGGGGAGGGAAACTCATTTTCTGGACTGGAGGAAAACTATTTCAATAAGATACCTACCAAAAAACAAACGAGACCGGTTATCTCGCGAAAAATTGCCTGCGAATTCCTATAGCACATATTGGCTGTGTGGTTTCGGCAGTGTGACTGCCGAAAATAAAACATCAACAAAAATCAATAAAACATTGCATGCATCGAATCCATACGCCAGCTTTTCAAGTCGAGTCACTCGACCTAAAAAGAAGAGTGAATAATGATTCGCACAAATGAAATTTGAAGCAATTTTTTGAGATATGGCTGAGCATCTTAGAAATGTGTTGGTTGGCTTGGAAAACCTGGAACGCGCGCTGCGCCAGGAGATGGAGCAAAGGAGACGGCGCCGGAGGCATTACGTTCGCTTGGAACACGTGCCATTCCTGGGTAACCGCATGAGGACATTCGATGAGTATTTGGCAGTGGCCGATCCCAATCACTTTTTGGAACTGACGAGACTGAGGCCGCCCGAGTTCTTAGCTCTCTATGAGCTGATCGCCGAACACATTGCCCACCCCATAACGCACAGGTCCCCCATATCTGGCAAATGGCGGCTTTTCACTTTCCTGAGGTAATGATTATTCATGAGAGATGCTCATACAGTTACCGAATCTTTGCAGCTTTTTAAGGTTTGTTGGGCAAGGACACAGTTTCACCGCTTTGGGCCAGGATCTTCACTGTGGAAGAAGTACAGTAGGTGAAATTGTTTTTGAAGTGGCACGAGCTATATGCAGAGGTAAGGCACTTTCCGGAATAATTGAGACAAAGAGTGTTCGGCCTCGCCACATTGCCCACCACCCCCTTATACTTTGTCTCAGCTGTGTACCATGACGCATTTCCATCGCTGACAAGGGGTGATTTGGAAGAGATCGCCGTCAGGGCGCAGGAAAGATATGACTACCTGCGTAGTGTTGGATTCTTAGATGGGAAACACATATATAAATAAAGGTACGTAGACGCCACTTTATCGTTGCGGTGTGCCTATTATAGTCATTGCAGAAGCCCCCACACTCCGGTAGTACGTATTGGTGCTATAAAAAAGATTCTCCATCATCCTACTAGCTCTGACAGACTGCAACAGGCGAATTCTAACGTTTGACGTAGGTTCACCGGGCTCAGTAGGAGATGCAGACGCTTTTAGGAGATCAGGAATAAAGGTAAGTCGGAATGTAATACGAAATGGCTTATGTATAGCATTATTCCAGCGCTTGTTTGATAACCACGATGAACTCTTCCCACCCACACGAGAGCTAGGAGATGTGGGGCCGGTGCAGTACCACGTATTAGTGGACAGCGGCTTTGCACAGCGGTACCGCTATATCAGGCCTTATCGGCGAGAGGACGCGAATACGCGCAGTAGGCGCACGTTCAACAAGAAACATAGCAGGTAAGTCGCAATTCTTTGCATCATCTGAAATAATCAAATGTTGATCACCAGCGCCCGTCAACAAGTAGAAGGAACATTTGGCCAAATGAGGGGACGTTGGCGTATCCTAGGAACCCCGATGGATTTCAAGCCCGGACACCGAGCAAGTAATGAAAGAATTTTCGTTAGCGGTCGGATCGTAGAAAGTAAGTCGAGACCTATCTTTAAGAAGTAGCCACAAAGTTTTCAGACAACTCCGGCCGAAGGTCACTTTCTTATTTGTGTCAACAACTGGGCAATCAATGGAAGGCGGCACCCAGAGGAGCAACACTCAAGGCATGCAGCCCCTGCGCAAAGGCTAGAGACTCGCCACGACGTGGACATGATGTGAAGCGACTTAGCGGGAAATCTTGCGAGGGAACGACTGACAACGTACTATGCTCGCAGGCATGGCGCTCCCCGCTGAGCGTGGGTTGTTTTTTAGCACATGGTAGGTAAGATTTACTTCGTACATTTTCATTATTTACTTTTCCAATTTTGACCGTTGAGTAGCAAAACAATCATGAAGCTCTCGATACTAGAGATCACTTAAAATCTCAAATAACCTCGCATTTGGTCGGCGCATCTGGAACTGAAACGTTTGCCTGGGGCTGAATGTTTGCCTGGGGCTGACGTTTGCCTGGGGCTCATGCTGCATCACCACCTCTCGTACAGGTGATACCCATCGGAAATTTTGCACCGCATTCGACGCCGAGATGTATCATGGACCTCGTTGCCTATTCTAGTGGAGTGCATCTCTTTGACTCACCAATTGCAGGGCGTCGGGGAGGGATTGAAGAGCTGCTGTTGCGGATATTCTCTGCGGAACTCGCAGATCCTAGATATCAGTTTTTCCCTATAAAAGAGTACAGGCGACATCTGGAAAAACATAGTGTTCGCTGCCATCGAATCCGTGAAAACTGGATCCACTCTTAGCTGGAGAGAAGCCAGCTGCGTTGCCAGCTTGCTTGCAGCTCGTTTGCCGTTGTTTGCTGCCGTGATCGCTGCAGTTCGTATGCCAGGTGGTTAATTGTTCCAAAACGCTTCCAATTCCGGTTGCGAAACTGCTGCATAAGCTCGTGTGGCGAAGGAC